CTGGAGAACAAGTCTTATGAGGAGCGGCTGAGGGAACTGGGGTTGTTTAGCCTGGAGAAGAGGAGGCTGAGGGGGAACCTTACTGCTCTCTACAACTACCTGAAAGGAGGTTGTAGTAAGGCTGGTGTTGGTCTCTCCTCCCAGGTGACTAGTGATAGGGTGAGAGGCAATGGGCTCAAGTTGCGCGGCAGGGGAGATTTAGGTTGCATATTAGGAAAAATGTCTTCCCTGAAAGAGTGGTCAGGCATTGGACCAGGCTGCCCAGAGAGGTGGTGGAGTCCCCGTCCCTGGAGGTGTTTAAAAAACGTGTAGATGTGGCACTTCGGGACATGGTTTAGTAGGCATGGTGGTGTTGGGTGGATGGTTGGACTTGGTGATCTTAGAGGTGTTTTCCAACCTATGATTCTATGATTCATTCTTCATTTTTAATTAAACTATAATGCTTTACAGATGCTGAGTACCTGCTTTTTCTTCTGTTCTGTGGGGTCACTGGATAACCTTGCTACTTTTCCGTTTGCTAATATCCCATATCCCTCATCGCATAAAGCCACCAGTCTGTTCTTTCATGTAGAGATGGGTAATACTTCAAGTTCACAGAATCACAGAATCACAGAATAGTAGGGGTTGGAAGGGACCTCTGTGGGTCATCTAGTCCAACCCCCCCGCCGAAGCAGGGTCACCTACAGCAGGCTGCACAGGACCTTGTCCAGGCGGGTCTTGAATATCTCCAGAGAAGGAGACTCCACAGCCTCCCTGGGCACCCTGTTCCAGTGCTCCGTCACCCTCAGAGAGAAGAAGTTCCTCCTCATGTTCAGACGGAACTTCCTGTGCCTCAGTTTGTGCCCATTACCCCTTGTCCTGTCACTGGGCACCACTGAAAAGAGCTTGGCCCCATCCTCCTGACACCCACCCTTCAGATATTTGTAGGCATTTATAAGGTCCCCTCGCAGCCTTCTCTTCTTCAGGCTGAACAAGCCCAGTTCCCTCAACCTCTCCTCGTAGTGGAGATGCTCCAGTCCCCTCACCATCCTTGTAGCCCTCCGCTGGACTCTCTCCAGTAGCTCTTCATCCTTCTTGAACTGGGGAGCCCAGAACTGGACACAGTACTCCAGATGAGGCCTCACCAGGGCAGTGTAGAGGGGAAGGAGAACCTCCCTTGTCCTGCTGGCCACACTCTTCTTGATGCACCCCAGGATCCCATTGGCCTTCTTGGCAGCCAGGGCACACTGCTGGCTCATAGTTAACCTGTCGTCCACCAGGACACCCAGGTCCCTCTCTGCTCTCCAGCAGGTCCACCCCAAGCCTGTACTGGTGCATGAGGTTGTTCCTCCCCAGGTGCAGGACCCTGCACTTGCCCTTGTTGAACCTCATCAGGTTCCTCTCTGCCCAGCTTTCCAGCCTATCCAGGTCACGCTGAATGGCAGCACAGCCTTCTGGTGTATCTACCACACCTCCCAGTTTGGTGTCGTCAGCAAACTTGCTGAGGGTACATTCTAACTCTTCATCCAGGTCGTTGATGAAGAAGTTAAACAAGACTGGGCCCAGTACTGACCCCTGAGGGACACCACTTGTCACCAGCCTCCAACTAGACTCAGCGCCGCTGATGACAACCCTCTGAGTTCTGCCATTCAGCCAGTTCTCTATCCACTTCACCGACCACTCATCCAGCCCACACTTCCTCAGCTTCCCCAGGAGGATATCATGGGAGACTGTGTCGAAAGCCTTGCTGAAGTCAAGGTAGATAACATCCACAGCTCTCCCTTCGTCTACCCAGCCAGTCATGTCATCGTAGAAAGCTATCAGATTGGTCAGGCATGATTTCCCCTTGGTGAATCCATGCTGACTACTCCTGATAACCTTCTTTTCTTCCACTTGCTTGATGATGGCCTCCAGGATAAGCTGCTCCATCACCTTTCCCGGGACGGAGGTGAGGCTTAGTGGCCTGTAGTTCCCTGGGTCCTCCTTCTTGCCCTTTTTGAAGATTGGAGTGACATTGGCCTTTCTCCAGTCCTCGGGCACCTCTCCTGTCCTCCAGGACCTCTCAAAGATGATGGAGAGTGGCTCAGCAATGACATCCGCCAGCTCCCTCAGCACTCGTGGGTGCATTCCATCGGGGCCCATGGATTTGTGGACATCCAGATCGCTTAAGCGATCCCTCACACAGTCCTCCTCGACCAAGGGAAAGTCGTCCTCTCTGTAGGCTTCCTCTCTTACCTCCGGGGCCTGGGATTCCTGAGGGCCAGTCTTAGCACTGAAGACTGAAGCAAAGAAGGCATTCATTAGCTCTGCCTTCTCCGCATCCTCCGTCACCAGGACACCCGCCTCATTCAGCAGCGGCCCCACATTGTCCCTAGCCTTCCTTTTGCTGCTGATGTAGTTGAAGAAGCCCTTCTTGTTGTTTTTGACATCCCTTGCCAGCTTCAATTCCAGGTGAGCCTTGGCCTTCCTCGTCGCATCCCTGCATGCTCTCACTACGTTTCTGTACTCTTCCCAAGTGGCCTGTCCCTCTTTCCACATTCCATGGACCTTTCTCTTCTGCCTGATCTCCGCTAGAAGCTCCTTGTTTAACCATGCAGGTCTCCTGCCTCCTTTGCTAAATTTCTTTCTCAGGGGGATGCATTGCTCCTGTGCATGGAAGAAGTGTTGTTTAAAAAGCGACCAGCACTCATGGACCCCCCTGCCTTCGAGAGCCCTGGCCCACGGGATTCCTCCCAGTAGCTCCTTGAAGAGGGCAAAGTCAGCCCTCCTGAGGTCCAGGGTTTTGATCCTGCTTATCGCCCTGCTTCCTCCATGCAGGATCCTGAACTCGACCATTTCATGGTCACTGCAGCCGAGTCTACCTCCAACCTTCACATCCTCCACCAGTCCCTCCTTGTTAACTTTTGAAAGTTGTTACCTCTCTTTAAGAATTGCAGGAGGATCTTCATCTCCGAAGGATTTTCTCCCTTCTCTTCCTAGCTCTTCTAGCTATGTCTGTTAATAACAGATATTGCCTTTCTCAGTAAAGAATGCTATTTTAAATTTTTCCAGACTTCCTTACTTTTCTTTTTCTGAGTAGTGTTGGCTTCCCCACCCACACCCCCTCCTCAAATTTATTCTTTGGTTCTTGGGTAGGCCAGAGCTGCCAGGGCTAATATTTCTCCTGTTGTCTCTGAAGCATTGCCATTTGAAGGCTGCTTAACAGCCGTCATGAGACACTTCCTTCCTGCCTGCGCTGTCCCAGACAGTCCCCTGTGGGGAGGCACTTTAACGAACATTATTCTTACTGAAAACATCCTGTCAGGACAGGCCAAAATACTGTTATCAATTATTAACAAGCACCACCATATTCATCACAATACATAAACATATCTGCTTCTTTTTTCTCTATTAAACTGATGTAAGCTGTATAAAAATAATACTTGGCACTTCTTTGGTAGCTGTTTGTGAAGGCGATCTGAAAACACTTTGTAGACACGAGCTTCGCAGCAGCGTTGTGACGTGCTGGAGAGAGTTCGTTGTGTCTGTGGTAGAATTGCGAGACCTAACTGTGCTGCAACAGTTAAATGTGGCCCTTCTCCACCCTTACACCCTTCACTGTGCTAATAGTTCTCCTTTGTGAAGCTGTAAATCCTCATGTGGAAGTAATTATAACAATGAAAAATGCATATAGATGTGGCCTTAGATGCAGAGGTTGCCTTGCTGAGAATTGCAAAACAAAGTAGCAGTGCTGCGAATAGAACACAGGAGTTCTGCCAGCTTCTGGCCATAACTGTGAGACAACAGTTCCTCCCCTTCACTTTTTAAAAGCTTGGTGGGAGAAGAAAGAGGAGGGTGTCAGAACACTCCTTCAACCTCCCTTAAGGCAGCCAAGTTAAAATGTGATGTTACAAAACTGTTCTTTTTAACTGTTCACTATCTGAAATTATACTGGATGTGAACCCAGTAGTTTGAGGAGGACAACACATCAATTAAACTGTTTACCACCACAGCTGAATTTCACACAAATAATATGCCTGTGGGTTTTATTTTTTTTGTTTCTAATCTTACTTTACATCTACAGGAGGACCATGGTCAGCCTTTATTTGGAGTGCAGTTTAACTGGCACAGTAAAGAAGGTGATCCTCTCGTTTTTGCCACTGTAGGCAGCAACAGAGTGAGTAATCTGTTTTTAACCATAAGCCTTTCCGTGTGGTTCTGCTTGCATTCTTTTCTTCAACCAATCCCTTTACCTGTGTTTAGTATGGACACAGGATACTTCATACAGAAAGCTTTGTTTCTGAGGTTTGTAGCATCTGTTATCTGGGAGAGTTGCATCCTGTGGATTGTTTTATGAAGAGTCATGTGTTAGCTATTTGGGACTTAGCCTATGTAGTGAAAAAAAAATCCTTCAGTAGTATAAACATGGGATAAGGAAGAGAGGTGCGTAAATGTATCTTTGCACTAAAATTACTCTTCATAGATGGTACTGTTTCCAAAAGGTCATATGCTCTAAAATGGGATGAGAAGTGTCTGCAATGATGCCAGGCAGCTGAGTAGCTAAATTAATGGCCTGTGTGGAGTGAATTTATAGACTTTTTCTGAACAAGGATCTATGTCATTTCGTCTTGAAAATAACTCCTGGAGTGCATTCTATGCAAGTGGTGTGAATAAACAAGAAGCCTTTCATTTCCAGGTTTGTTCTTCCTGGCAGTTAGCAGAAGTGAACTAAGATTAATCAAAGTATCAATGTCTCATTAAAAGACCAAGTCATGTTAAAGATGGCTGCAGTAACTAATTTTAAATAGAGTTTAGTCTTACTATGATAATTCAAATAATAGATTTTAGTATCTGGGAAGGACTGCTGACGAGTCCTGGAGTGGTGCTTTACTGAAACTGCTGTGAGCATTCTGTTAGCAAACCATTTCCACCTGTTGGAATGATGGATGAGATCTAAACCATGAAGGCACACTACCTCTCCCCATCTGGAACTGAATACACAGGTGCATGTGATTTCTTCTTGAAATACCACAAGTGAGCAGCAATCTCTCCCATTTATTTTTTTTCTCCTCCAGGTTACTTTATATGAGTGTCATTCCCAAGGTGAAATCCGTCTGTTGCAGTCCTACGTGGATGCTGATGTATCCTTTTAAGTTAAAAAGCCACCTGTTTGCTGCCTGTTTATCAAAAATGCAAAGGCTTTGTAGGAAAAGGCACATGAAGGTTTTGTCTGTGATTTGATACTGTGCTCATGTGGCACATTCCTTATGTTAGGTCCAAGTCTTGCCTCTTTCCCACATCCTAGAGTTGCTCCTATTGAAAAAATATAAAAATGCAGACTCATGGACCGTGCTGTATTAAAATATTTGAAAACTGATGCTCCATCAGTCTAATCTTCCCAAGACTAATATTTGTTAATGTTTCACATTCACTGCTTTACAGTGGTCTCAGTTTCCCTGTGAATTGGAACGGGGTTTAAAGCTTAAGAATTATGTTTTGTGCTCTGAAGTGGTAACAGCTAGTGTTGATCACTTTGAGTACACAAGTCAATAACATATGAACTCAGTCTTCATTTGTCCTCATTTTACTCCCAATCAGTCTTGATTCATCCTCATTTTATTCCCAATCTTCAGATGTTTTGGGGAACGAGGTTGAAAAGTAATGCCAAGTGAGAGGAGATGTTCCTTGTATGTTATGGAACAGAAGTGTGGAAACTGCCATCTATAGAAAAGGCGATCTTGCTTGTATTTGCAGATGCATAATCAGATATGTATCTTTTTCTTACTGGGTCCAGCAGAGACTCCTGGGCACTTGCAGAAAATAGCAACAAGTTTATTTAAAAAAAAAAACCAACTTTTTTTTTATTATTTTTAAATCCTGTTTCTTCTGTATTCCTTAACATGAGATGTTGTAGGCAGATGAAAATTTCTATACCTGTGCATGGACATATGATAGCAATACAAGCCATCCTCTTCTGGCCGTGGCAGGGTCCAGGGGTATTATTAGGATAATTAATCCTATTACAATGCAGTGCATAAAGGTGAGTGCTCCAAACTTCGAGATACAGCTTGCGTTTCAGTAAGGCGTGAAACTTATGTCTTCTAAATACGTGTGAACATGAGGGGAAATGATAACTTGGTCTCTGAATTCTATCCCAGCACTACGTGGGCCATGGAAATGCAATCAATGAACTGAAATTCCATCCAAGAGATCCAAATCTCCTTTTATCTGTAAGCAAAGGTGAGGAAAAAAGCCTCTTTTGTTTTTGTATAAATCAGGATACTTTGGATTGGATTTTGCTCTTGAAAATGGCCAAAATCTCCATGAATTTTTTTATGAGCGGCACTGAACAAGTTTACCTTGAAAGTCGAGAGCAAATCTTGCTCTTTCATGGCAATATATCTTGTACATGTTAAATCCATGGCCTACGATAAACATAACTCCACCTGTGGTGCAAAGGGATTGTGAACAGTGCTGCTTTTAGGAAAGAAGAAACAAGAGCATTGGGGTTGCTCTGTCCTTTCTAACAGTCGAGTTAAATTTTTTTTCAGTTGTTGAATCATGTTGTCATCTAGTGGGGGTGTCTGAATGCTGCAGACAGCATTCAGTGCCGTGTTCATGGGGAAAACGTCGATTCTCTGTCGCTCAGGAGTGGCTCTGGCTTTAACTGGACTTTGTGTAAAAAGCATATTAGTGAAGGGAGCAGTGAGTTTTTGGTATGGTGTCTGACGGGCTTGTCCAGAACATCTGAACAGTCACAGCTTCCTAATCTCGACTGTTTTGCTAAGTAAGGAAATACTTGATCTGCCGCAAGAGCAAGCCTTCAGGAATGCTCCAGTTGGAAACGTTCACATAAGTGGATTTTTGACTTTAGCATATTTGGCATTACTGATGAAGCTACACAAGAGTAGGAGTTGGGGACCTTTCTGATTCTTACAGCTGTGAAGTTTGTGCTGTGGGTCTGTAACGTTGAATTTCTTGAGATCTATATATTTTTGAGGTTCTCTTTTTTAGTAACATTTTAACATCAGCCATAGTACTACAAGTTTTAATGTGCAATTTCTGGATCAGGTACTGTCTCTGAGAGGGCATAAGGCAGGAGAATATTGGAGTCTCAGAACTGCTTGGCTGAGAGATAAGTAGAAAAAGAGGAAAATATTTGGGACTGTGTGGCCTTCCAGTTGATGTTGCTGTGATTCAGTGCAGTGTACTTGTGGAATCCAAAGGGGAAATATAGTAGAGGTTCCCATTTCCAAATGGGAAATACAGTAGAGGGTCTTCATTAGCATTTGTTAAAACTTCTGTTAAACAAGTGGATTAGTCCGATGGACTGTGGAGTACATATTGTTTACGGAGTTTCTCCCATCACCACAGTCTGTGGTTCATATGGAATAGTATGTTAAAGATTAAAAAAATGAATGCTGATAGTAGAATGGCTGAAAGGAATTCTAGCATTTTTTGATACATAAAATTGTTTTTGAGATAAGACTGAATAAAAGCGTTTTTATCCAAGATCAGGCTTTTCTTTGCTTTTCAGATGATCTAAGGATCCAAGTATATTTTCGTTAGAAGCTGGCCCTAGGGGAGGGGGGTGGGCACACTTGCTCAATTACAGAATTACTCTAACAGTAGTTTAGTTGCAATGGCAATTTTACTTAATGCAGTTCTTTTGTTTCTTACAAGTGAAGAAGAATTAAGTGCCTTTTTGATGTTTACATGAACACCTGTTATTGAAAGTAGTTAAGCTGAAATATATTATTCATATGTACATATAAAAAGCAGCATGTAATTTTATTTGTTCTTTATAGATCATGCATTGAGACTGTGGAACATCCAGACAGACACGCTGGTTGCAATATTTGGAGGAGTAGAAGGGCACAGGGATGAGGTGTTAAGTGCAGTAAGTGGAAGACTGTGGGGCAGTAATTTAGATTTACAAAGGGTAGTAAGCCTGCAATATGCAACTTTTTATCCTCTTGTGCACTGTTCTGATATTACACCTACTTTAAAAAAAGCCCTAAAGTGCATAAATACCGTTTTAAGGGGATAGACAAGTTTAAATCCAGGGTGGTTTGATTAATCTGGCCACCTCTCAATATACAGGACAGGTGTTCACATTCTGTGTCTTTTAGTAGCTAGTTTTCTCACAGTGCAGGCTAGAAGTAAACAAAATAGAGCTCAGTGGGGCTAGAAAGAGTAAAAAGTTTTCATGACGGTCCCACTTTTGAAGTTCTTGAGGTCTTACCAAGCCAAAGCAGCAAGAACAAATAAGCCTTGAGAGACATGGTAGTGAAGGAAAGAAGTTATCTCAGGTGAGTTACGCTGCTTTTCAGTGGCTGTGAACAGACACTGGTACCCATCAAATATCAGCTAGAATAGTTGACTGTTAATATGCTGCTCTTAAGAACTGTTTCCATTCCTGTTGTATGACCTGAAAGGTGAGGAGTGCATCTGTATGAAACCTGACACTGTATTATTCTCTTGTGGTTCTAAATAGTCATCACCCATGCGGTAGCCCTGGAATTCTGCCAGAGTTGCTCCATAAAATGAAACCTCAGGAACTGACTGAGGGGGGAGCACTAGCAGTAGATTCATTGTCTGTCAGTGCTGTTGAATGTGCCTCTCTTTTTTGAGAGAGAGTAAATATAATACTGTGCTTCTTTGCAGTGAGCAGGATTAAGTTATCAGTATTTTTATATTTGAAATACACAGTTTTTTGCATTCTTTAAGCCAAAAATGCTGTTTTGATGGAAATGATGGAATAAAATCTGAGTTGCTGTAATGCAGTTTAGGTTGGGGGTCCTCAAAACTATTTCATATACATAGGATTATGATCTTCTTGGTGAAAAAATCATGTCCTGTGGGATGGATCACTCTCTAAAACTCTGGAGAATTAATTCCAAGAGAATGATAAACGCCATCAAAGAATCTTACGAGTACAACCCAAACAAAACTAACAGGTACGTAGTCTTCATCTTCTTGTCTGTCTTTGCAAAACATGAATGTTCTCACCAATGGCCGAGGTTAACTCCTATCCAAACTGGGAGTTCTTCCGAATAGTGAGTGACCTGGGGGTTGCGCTGGGTACTGAATCTGTGTAGAAGGTGTGCCTTATTGATGTTTGCTTTGGTAGTTATTGAGTTCAGATTTAAAGTTCTGACACTTTTATTTTTAAATACTGGGCGATAAGCAGGATCAAAACCTTGGACCTCAGGAGGGCTGACTTTGCCCTCTTCAAGGAGCTACTGGGAGGAATCCCGTGGGCCAGGGCTCTCGAAGGCAGGGGGGTCCATGAGTGCTGGTCGCTCTTTAAACGACACTTCTTCCATGCACAGGAGCAATGCATCCCCCTGAGAAAGAAATCGAGCAAAGGAGGCAGGAGACCTGCATGGTTAAACAAGGAGCTTCTAGCAGAGATCAGGTGGAAGAGAAAGGTCCATGGAATGTGGAAAGAGGGGCAGGCCACTTGGGAAGAGTACAGGAACGTGGTGAGAGCGTGCAGGGATGCGACGAGGAAGGCCAAGGCCCACCTGGAATTGAAGCTGGCAAGGGATGTCAAAAACAACAAGAAGGGCTTCTTCAACTACATCAGCAGCAAAAGGAAGGCTAGGGACAACGTGGGGCCGCAATGCCTTCTTTGCTTCAGTCTTCAGTGCTAAGACTGGCCCTCAGGAATCCCAGGCCCCGGAGGTAAGAGAAGAAGCCTATAGAGAGGACGACTTTCCCTTGGTCGAGGAGGACTGTGTGAGGGATCGCTTAAGTGATCTGGATGTCCACAAATCCATGGGCCCCGATGGAATGCACCCACGAGTGCTGAGGGAGCTGGCGGATGTCATGGCTGAGCCA